CCAGGCCGAGGGGGGCCCATAAAAGAAAAGAAAAAAAAGAGAAATGGTTTTTTCTTTTCCCCTTGGTGTCCCCCCCCCCAAAGAGGGCCCCCCCCCGCGGGAAAATTTTTCCCATTTTGGGGGGGGGGGGGGGCTTTGCAAAACCGGAAGCAAGAGAACCCAGGGACCCCAGGGTTCTCCCCCGGGGGCCCCCCAAGGAGGGGCCGAGGGCCAAAACCCCTGGGCCCATCCCCCCCCCCGCCCCCCCCGGGCCCCCGCAGAGGGGCTGGCCCGAGAGAGAAGGGAAAACCGGGGACAGAATCCGGGCGCCCCCGACCAGGGCCTAGACCCTGGGTGGGCCCGCCCGCTAGGCGGAGGATTAGCCTAGTGAGCCGCGGCGCCGGCCTGTTTGTTGATTTCTATATGAGAGCCATTCTAACTGCAGTAAGGTGAAACTTCACTGTGGTTTTGATTTGCATTTCTCTGATGGCTAGTGATCCTGTGCATTTTTTTCTATTGTCTGTTGGCCATTTGGATTTTTTCTTTTGAAAAATGTCTGTTCAAGTCCTTTGCCCATTTCTTTAACTGGATTGCTTTCTTTGTTGTTGTTGTTGAGTTTCTTGAGCTCTTTATAGATTCTGTATAAGCCGGCACCGCGGCTCACTAGGCTAATCCTCCGCCTTGCGGCGCCAGCACACCGGGTTCTAGTCCCGGTCGGGGTGCCGGATTTCTGTCCCGGGTTTGCCCCTCTTTCCAGGCCAGCTCTTCTGGCTGTTGGCCAGGGGAAGTGCAGGTGGAAGGATGGACCCAGGTCCTTGGGCCTTGCCCCCCTTGGAAGGACCAGGATAAAGGAACTTGCTCCCTGCATTCGAACCAGCGTGGGGCCCCGTGGCCAGCCGGCCGCCCGGGGGGCCCATTTGGAGGGTTGAACCAACGGCAAAGGAAGACCTTTCTGTCTCTCTCTCACTGTCCACTCTGCCTGTCAAAAAAAAAAAATTGAAATATAGATTCTGTATATTAACACTTTATTAATTGCATAGTTTGCAAATATTTTCTCCCATTCTGCTGCTGGCCTCTTCATTTTGTGAGTGTTTCTTTTGCAGTACAGAAGCTTCCCAATTTGATCTAATCCCATTTGTCAATTTTGGCTTCGATGGCCTGTGCCTCTGGGGTCTTTCCAAGAACTCTTTTCCTAAGCCATTATCTTGCAGGGTTTCCCCAATGTTCTCTAATAATTTGGTTGTATAAGGTCATTGATTCAGGTCTTTAATCCATTTTGAATGGATTTTGTGTAAGATGTAAGGTATTTCTGCATGTGGAAATACAGTTTTCCCAGCAGCATTTGTTGAAGAGACTGTCCTTGTTCCAGGGATTGGTTTTAGCTCCTTTGTCAAAGATAAGTTGGTTGCAGATGAATAGATTGATTTTGAAGTTTCTTTTCTGTTTTGTTGTTCTATACATGTATTTTTTGCTAGTACTAGGCTGTTTTAATTATGACTGCCCTGTAGTATGTCTTGAAATCTGGTATTGTGATGCCTCTGGCTTTGATCTTGTATAAGATTGCTTTAGCTATTTGGGGTCTCTGTGTTTCCGTATGAATTTTAGCATTGTTTTCAATTAGGTCTGAGAAGAATGTTATTGGTATTTTGATTGGTATCACACTGAATCTAAATTTTTGGTAGTATAGACATTTTGATGATATTGATTCTTTCAATACTTGAACATGTAAGCATTTTCCATTTCATTGTATCTTCTATTTAGAAAATTAAAACACAGTGTGCTCAAAACCAACAACTAAAGAATCTCAAGAACATATGCAAATACATCGAGACTGAACAACATGCTCCTAAATGAACAGTGAGTCATAAAAGAAATCAAAAGAGAAATAAAAAAATTTCTGGAAACAAATGAAGATGACAAGAACTCATATCAAAACTTACGGGATACTGCAAAAGCAGTGTTAAGAGGGAAGTTTATAGGTATTAGTGCCTACATCAAGAAAACTTGAGTTACCAAATAAAGGAGCTGTCAATGCATCTCAAGTACCTGGAAAAACAACAACAAACCAAACCCAAAATTTGTAGGAGGAAAGAAATAATTAAAATTAAGGAAAAAATAAGCAAAATTGAAACAAAAAATACAAAAGATCAATAAATGAAGATTTGGTTTTTTGAAAAGATAAATAATATAGACACCATTGGCCCAACTGACCAAAAAAGAGGGAGAAGCACTAAATCAACAAAATCAGAGATGAAAAAGGAAATGCAACAACAAATATTGCAGGAATAAAAGAATAATCAGAAGTTTTTACAAAGAACTGTATGCCAACAAATTGGGAAACCTAGAAGTAATGGATAGATTCCTGGACATATACAACCTACCTAAACTGAATCATGAAGACACAGAACACCTAAACAGACTAATAACCAAGATGGATATTGAATCAGTAATACAGACCCTCCCAACAAAGAAAAGCCCAGGTCCCGACAACTTCACTACTGAGTTATACTAGATGTTTAAAAAAGAACTAACTCCAATTATTCTCAAGGTATTCAAAACAATCAAAGTGGAGGGACTCCTCACAAACTCCTTCTTTGATGCCTGCATCCAACTTAATGCCTAAGCCAGAAAAAGACACCATAGAGAAAGAGAACTATAGAAAAATATCCCTGATGAACATAGATGCAAAAGTCCTCAACAAAATAATAGCCAGTTGAATCCAACAGCAATCAGAAAGATCATTCACCCGGACCAAGTAGGATTTATCCCTGGTATGCAGAGATGGTTCAACATCTGAAAATCAATACATGTGATAAACCACATTAACAAACTAAAGACTGAAAACCACATGATTATCTCAATAGATGCAAAGAAAGCTTTTGACAAAATTCAACACCTTTTTATGATGAAAAACTTAAGCAAACTTAGCATAGAAGGAATATTCCTCAACATAATGAAATCAATTTATAACAAACCCACAGCCAGAATACTATTGAATAGGGAAAAATTGGAGGCATGCCCATTAAGATCTGGAACCAGACAAGGATGCCCACTTTCACCATTGCTATTTCATATAGTGCTGGAAGTTTTAGCCAGAGCCATCAGGCAAGAAGAAGAAATCAGAGGGATACAAATAGGAAGGAAGAAGTCAAACTACCCCTATTTGCTGATGACATGATTCTATATATAGGGAACCCCAAAGATTCCATGAAGAGACTATTGGAACTCATAAAAGTTTGGTAAAGTAGTAGGATATAAAGTCTACACGCAAAAATCCATAGCCTTTGTTTACACAGACAATACCATAGCTTAGAAAGACCTTCTAGGATAAATTCCATTCATAATAGTTACAAAAAAATTTAAAAAGCTTGGAATAAACTTAACCAAGAATGTCAAAGATGTCTATGGTGAAAATTATAAAACATTAAAGAAAGAAATAGAATACATAAAAAAGTGGAAAAAAATCTTCCATGTCCATGGATTAGAAGAATCAACATGTTAAAAATGTCCACACTACCAAAAGCAATTTATAGATTCAGTGTGATCCCAATTAAAATACCAACAACATTCTTCTCAGATATAGAAAAAATGATGCTAAAATCCATATGGCAACACAAGAGACCCCACGTAGCTGAAGCAATCATAAACAATAAAAACAAAGCTAGAAGAATCACAATACCAGACCTCAAGACAAACTAAAGGGCAGTTATAATCAAAACAGCCTGGTACTGGCACAAAAACAGATATGTAGACCAATGGAACGGAATATAAACCCTAGATATTAGTCCACACATCAACGATCAACTTATCTTTGACAAACTTTTGCTTTTTAGCAAAAATCAACCCCTGGAGCCAAGACAGTCTCTTCAACAAATGGTGCTGGGAAAACTGGGTTTCCGCATACAGAAGCATAAAACAAGACCCCCTACCTCACACCTTACACAAAAATCCACTCAGAATGGATCAGAGACTGAAATCTATCATGTGATACCATCAAATTACTAGAGAACATTGGGGAAACCCTGTAAGACATTGGCATAGGGAAAGACATTCTGGAAAATAACCCAGAAGCACAGGTGATCAAAGCCAAAACTAACAAGTGGTCTTACATAACATTGAGAAGCTTCCACACTGCAAAAGAAACACTTAGCAAAGTGAAGAGACAGCTGACAGAGTGGGGAAAATATTTGCAAACTATGAAAATGACAAAGGATTAACTTCCAGAATCTATAAAGAGCTCAAGAAACCAAACAGCCACCAAATAAACAACCTAGTCAAGACACGGGCAAGGGAGCCGAACAGCACAATGAAGTTTCACCTCATCTCAGTTATGATGGCTTTCATACAGATATCAACAAACAACAAATGCTGGTGAGGATGTGGGGAGAAGGGTCTCTTAATCCATCATTGGTGGGAATGTAAAATGGTCCAGCCACTGCGGAATACAGTATGCGGCTACCTCGGAAAGCTGAAGCTCCTCTATGAGCCAGCCAGCCATCCCACTCCTGGGAACCTACCCAGATCAAAAATAAATCAGCATATGAAAGGGTTATCTGTACCCCCATGTTTATTTCAGCTCAATTTACAACAGCTAAGATATGGAATCAACTCAGAAGTCCGTCAACTGAGGACTAGATAAAGCAATTATGGGGTGTGTGTGTGTGTGTGTGTGTTAATGGATTTAATGGGAGACATAGACTCCAATACAATAGTAATACACATACACTATGGAATACTACACAGCAGTAAAAAAGGGAAATCCTTTCATTTGCAACAAAATGGATGTAACTGGAAACCATTATACTTAGTGAAATATAAGGCAGTCCCTCAAAAGACAATTACCATATGTTTTCCCGATCTGTAGTAATTAATAGAGCACCTACAATGTAATCTATAGAGGAAATGCGAACTTAGGCTGTCACACAACCGCTGGGGTCTGTTCTCGCCGCCCGCCGGGCAGTCTGTCGGCGTCGCCGCCGCTATCGCCGCCTCAGCCGTTCCAGGAATCTGTGGAACCTCCGGGAACCCCACATCCGTCCACACAGGCCGGCCCGACGGTCCGCGTCTCCCCCGCGCCACCTCGCAGCCCGCCGCACTCGCCGCTCCGGCCGACATGAGTGGGGACCATCTCCACAACGATTCCCAGATCGAAGCGGATTTCCGATTGAATGATTCTCATCAACATAAAGATAAACACGAAGATGGAGAACACCGACACAAAGAGCACAAGAAGGACAAAGACAAGGACCGGGAAAAGTCCAAGCATAGCAACAGTGAACATAAAGATTCTGAAAAGAAACACAAAGAGAAGGAGAAAACAAAACACAAAGATGGAAGCTCAGAAAAACATAAAGACAAACACAAAGACAGAGACAAGGAGAAACGAAAGGAAGAAAAGATGAAAGCCTCTGGGGATGCAAAAATAAAGAAGGAGAAGGAAAATGGCTTCTCCAGTCCACCACGAATTAAGGATGAACCTGAAGATGATGGCTATTTTGCACCTCCTAAAGAGGATATAAAGCCATTAAAGAGACCTCGGGATGAGGATGATGCTGATTATAAGCCCAAGAAAATTAAAACGGAAGACGTCAAGAAGGAGAAGAAACGAAAACTAGAGGAAGAAGAGGATGGTAAATTGAAAAAACCCAAGAATAAGGATAAAGATAAAAAAGTTCCTGAGCCAGATAACAAGAAAAAGAAGCCGAAGAAAGAGGAAGAACAGAAATGGAAATGGTGGGAAGAAGAACGTTATCCTGAAGGCATTAAATGGAAATTCCTAGAACATAAAGGTCCTGTATTTGCTCCACCATATGAGCCTCTTCCAGAGAGTGTCAAGTTTTACTATGATGGTAAAGTCGTGAAGCTGAGCCCCAAAGCAGAAGAAGTAGCTACGTTCTTTGCAAAAATGCTCGACCATGAATGTACTACTAATGAAATATTTAGAAAAAATTTCTTTAAAGACTGGAGAAAGGAAATGACTAATGAAGAGAAGAATACTATCACCAACCTAAGCAAATGTGATTTTACGCACATGAGCCAATATTTCAAAGCCCAATCAGAAGCTCGAAAACAGCTGAGCAAGGAAGAGAAACAGAAAATCAAAGAGGAGAATGAAAAAGTACTTAAAGAATATGGCTTCTGTATTATGGATAACCACAGAGAGAGGATTGCCAACTTCAAGATTGAGCCTGGATCAGCCTGAGAGACGGGAAGAACCCAGGAATCTGGCTTTAAAATCCTTCAAATGATTCTGCTGCTGTGACCTCCATCCATGTTGTGAGAAACTCTGATCTATTATTTTCCAAGCGTTATGCTGGCTTGAAGAAAAAATTAAATCTCTAGGTGCATTTCAAATCTAATTTCTCAGCTATCCATGGTTATGAAAGCCAGGGATCTCTCTCATTGCACTTCCAGCTAGGGTCATTTCCTTTGAAGATTCTAGCTCCCTGGTGCCTGGAGGTTAAGTCAGAACATTTCTCCTCACTTGCTTTTGTAATTGCGGGGAAGAGCTACTGTGCTTGGTTTTTTTTGGGTTTTTTTGTTTGTTTGTTTGTTTGTTTTTGTTTTTGTTTTTAATTTTTTAATTTTTTTAAATTTATTTAATGAGCATAAATTTCCAAAGTACAGCTTCCGGACCACAATAGCCTCCTCCCCGCCCGTGTCTTCCCTCCCATCCACAACGCTCCCCTCTCCCACTCCCTCTCCCCTTCCCCTTCACATCAGAATTAATTTTCAATTATCTTTATATACAGAAGATCAATCTAGCGTATGTTAAGTAAAGATTACCACATTTTTATGCTTGGTTTTGCAACCTCTTCTCCATACCCTGGAGGCATGCCATCTCCGCGGTGGGCCCAGTACTTTCTCTCTGTGACATGCTTTGAGAGGCGGTAACGTCTATAAAGTGCTTCATGAGCTATTTGGACCTGAGGCGTTGCATAAAGAGGTGATGCAAATAGAATAGGATGCAGGCAGGTGGTGAAAAATGTCCTCTCTGCAGCTTTTCCATGCCCAAGCCTAGGGAGGGACTTGAGTGCAGATCTTCTGGGAAGAGTTTGCAGAGAAAGGCTTAGCTGTTAAAAAAGAGGAAGGTTGATAACACCAACTGGGAACACCTGCATACTGAAGGGAGCATCATGGGATGAGGTGGATCAAGATGTTAGACGTTAAATTCTGAGTAGACAGTTCTTTCCACGGAGGGTACAGCTCGACTATCATGTACTGAACACCTACTATAGAGCACATAATGAACGGAGCACCTGCCCAGGTATGTCTTCTTATTCCGTTTTTTATCACAATTTCACACGGACAGGCTTTTTAAAATGCCCGTACCACAGGGAGGGGAACTGAGGCTTGGAGAAACACGATGAATTTCTCCCTATCATGACCAACAAATGACACTGGAATTCAGTAGCAGCTTTCCAACCATATTCTTGCCGCTCTACAGCTCTGTGATGATCATTACGTAGGAGGGGAGTGGAAAAAGGCAGAGGCGGAGGCAGAGGCAGAGGGAGAGAGGAAGGAGGAGG